AACGAATAGTGGGATTGACCATCATATTATAACACCCCTACGGCTGATAGGGCGAGCATGTTTGGTGTGACGGGTAAAATAATAATTATTATTACAAGGCGTAATATGACAGAGAAAGTAAATATAAAAATTAATGTAAATAAACTAATTACGTAATGTAAAACTTATCTAATATTAACTTGAACAGCATGTAAAACCAATGGTGATTAACACACTAAAGTTGTTTACTGTCACCCTAAACAACATTCCAAGGAATCAAAATGCAGACTTAAAAGTTGTTAAGAAGTTGTGATACCTTGTAAAACGTTTAAACCCATAATCTTTAGCAAGAATATTGTTGAATTTTCCAAAGATTTGAATAAATTTTGTGCTTCATATTCGCAGTGAGAAAACTCAATTATGAAAAATACCAATGAGATTACAAGCTCTATATACGCAATATTGTAATGATGAACAAGTTCCATTGTATCTCATAAACTGAGAGTAGGAAACATTGTGATATAACTTCTTTGGAACATTCGCATTTGGGGATGTAAACTTTATAAATTCAAAATTGAAGATGCCCGTTGTAACAAATTTATTGTCATGTATTTATTTTTAATAGGAACGTTGTTTAAATTAAATTTATATTTAAAAATAGGCGTAACTTATAGGTGAGATATATATTTCGTATAATGAATTTGTAATTATTTTAATTACAACGTTTGTTTCGATTGAGTTTATATGTAGAAACGTGCCTAGCTTACAGTGTTAGTTACGTATGGCGAAACTCCTGCCAATTCTCCAAGGTTGTAGAATATTCGTGAACACAAGAATCGACAATATATCCACTTACATAACCGGCTAAATATAAAGTATTGTAGTCCGATCTTTCGAGAAATACATTTCTCGCAGATATAAAAAGACCAAGGCCAAAGAGGAGCACAGATAAGTGTGCTAGGAACCTGTTATAACCGTGTATGCTATAAACCATGATTTTGCTATCAACCGGGAAATATACGACATTTGACCAGGAACAGTTATAAATTTCGAACGTCAGTGAACTCTCATCGGACGTTAGTATCTTTCTGAAAGTATTACTGAATTATTATCGGACATTAGTGGCTTTATGAAAATATTATCTTACTTCGACTGTCCAACAATTCAGTGTCTGACAAAGTTAGCTAGCTTCTCGGCAATCGTACGTACATCGACTTCAAGTTAACTCGCTGGATATCAAGGAGACTCTGAACTAGGAAGAAGAATTTAGGTTATTTGTAAGTTAGTGAAATTTTTGTTTATGAAACTTTGTAATAATTAACCGTAATAGTTGCTATTGTAAATTATATTGTTGTATATATATATTAAAACATATTTGTGTCAAAAGCAAAAACGGTGTGAATCAATCTTGTTGGCAAATAGCGTAAATTAAATAAAATATCGGCATATTTCTAGACACTAAATCCAGGGTACAATTCAACTGTACAATTCAATTTAAATTATTTAACTGGGCTTCGGATTGTAACATAATAAATTGGGGGTTCGTGTCCGAGATCTGAATCATAGATAAAATTCGGTCTAAATTATAATTTAAATCATAATTGAATTTATATTTATCGGTGCCAACAAGATTTGATCATGTTGAATTATCAATATTTTCTTGTATCACCCTCCCTAGAACAACTAGAAAAATATAACAAAAATGAATTACTCGAAATTGCCAAAGTTTTAGAACTAGAACTTAATAGGTCAATGAGAAAACAATGAACTAAAAAAGTATATTATCGAAATACCAGTCGATGATGATTTGTTGCCTGATGATGCATTAGGGGAATACTCTAATGTCCCTAATAGCCAATCGGGGTTGAGTGATAAAAATATATTATAGATTCAGCTAAAACCCAAACAAATCGAGCTCGAACAAACTCGTATTGAAGCCGAGAAAAAACAAACTCGTATTGAAGCCGAGAAAAAACAAACTCGTATTGAAGCCGAGAAAGAACAAACTCGTATTAAAGCCGAGAACGAACGACCTCATATTGAGGCCGAAAAAGAAATTAGACTGAACACTGATCGACCAAAGCAAAATGACAACTTTGAACTTAATGGATATGTTGAAGTACCACCTTTCAATTACAATAAAGTAGATAAATATTTCCAACATTTTAAGAAGGTTGTCCAAATCATGGAATGGCCCAACGAAAAATGGTCATTATTAATGCCTTAAGTGTCTTAAATGTTAAGCACAAGAAGCTTACGCCGCTCTCTCTTTAGAATATTGTATGAATTATGATAAGGTTAAAGCAGCTATTCTCAAAGCGTATTATTTATATGGATAATTATATGACTTACTCGAATGTACACCATAGTCTGCGAAAACTGAAATGTATTTATTTATGATGTTTTCTATTTTTTCAATGTGTTTATAAACTGCATTACCTGAAGGTTTTAACGTATTCAAATTAAACCCAATTTCTTTACATAAAGATATAATATAAAACTTTTTACACAGAAAACAAAATTGTTAGCTATTATATCCACGGGAGATGACATATCTACTATTTAAACAATTTGAGTGATCAATAACCTTTTTTTTCTAATGACACGTTAGTTGTTCCTAATAGTGAATTTCTTTGATTATGATATGCGTTTAATGATTATGTTTTTACTATATTTATCCATTTTCTAAATAGGATTACTTTTAAATTCTAGATTATATTTTCAAACAAAACAGTGAACCAGCAAGTTTACGTGAAAAAAAAATCATTTAAAAAACACATGTCTTAAAAAATAATTAATGATTTATAAGTTGATGATTTTAAGTACCTCATTTTTTTGATCTGTTCAATTCTAAATAACATTTGTGTGGTATTATAATATCAGAATGATAAAAAAATCTCAAACAATAACAAAAAGAATAACATCAAATTATCTCACATCAAGCAGTTGTGACAAGCCACTAACGTCATTACTTCAATACTTTTTGGAATGTACAAGCAAATATTTCTAAGCACGTTTGAACTTTTCGTATGCTGGAAAATTTCATAAATCTCACAACAAACATCATTTAACAAGAGGAAATCCTCAATAGCTGCGGCACTTGAAATTTTTTTAGGCAGGATTAGAGTGACGGAGCTATGAGCTAAAAATTTAAAATATTCTATTTTTTATTTGGCACAACGTTTCATAAGTCTCATCGCAAAGCTAAGCCATATGACAGCAGTGGTACTAAATATGGAATTTACGGATGTTGTCTGTTTAATTCAAACATATATGATTACTTGAATTTGCAAAATAGAAAAGACAATGTTTCGAAACTCTCTCAGATTTCAGACATTAAATCTCGCCTTGTCCACAGTTTATATTAGAAGATAATGTATCAGAAAACATTACAGTTTCCAAACACTAAATCTCGCCTTGTCAACAATTTATATTTTACAAAATTGTGTCACCCAACTTTCAACGAATTTCACATTGATCAAACGTAGACCTCTGTAACTGCTCATATTTCTGTAGTTGCCCCAACCAACGATCTGATAAGTCTTGGCACATAGACTAAGCGCTAAATCAGCCTCGTCTTTTCAGGTATTTATATTTTACGAAATGAATTAAGCCAGTCGACTTCTCTGCTAATCTTATGGTGTCTAAATACCCCAACAAAAACGTTGCTAAATGTTTATACCTTTTGTAGTTGTGCCATCTGACGTTTCGAGGAAGCTTATATTGTTCAAGCACTAAATATTGCCTTGCCTGATGTTTATATTTTTGGAATTGGACCAACTGACGTTGAAACAAATCTCACAATGTTGAAACGCGAATTGGTCATCACGCTAAAACGGAATACAATTTTAAAATTTAGTTTTAGACTGTCTTGTACTTAAACTATCAAATAAAATGATATAAGCAATTGCTTACAACTCATTACAAATTTGGTTTTAAAAAAATCGATAAAAATACATATATGTTGATTTTTTACAGTCGAGTTCTTACGTTTTTTGTCATGTTGGTCTGATAAGTAATTTGTTGGGTTAAGTACTGGTGGGCCTTATGTATCAGTGCTTTCTGTACCCTTGAAATTTCTGCGTAGTCAGCGGCTATAGAATACATTACTTTTTATGGGAATTTTAAATTCTTTTTTTTCTTCATGTAAATCTGCCTACCTTCATTTTAATTGATAACCGCACAGATCAGAACACTTTATTCCAAGATGAAATAATCGTTGTCTTTCACTAATAGTTCAATCATATGAAAAGTTACACGATTAATTATTTCGACTTCTTATATGTTTAATATATATATATATATATTTATAGGTTAATTAGGAATTACTAAACAAGTTTTTTAAACTTCCGGAAAGTGTTATGTAGACAGACTGACACAGTTCTTCCGCGAAATTCCTAAAAGTTCGGACGTTTCCTTTAAATACAATGATTCATTGCATGTTTCATGTTCTACCTGCTTCGTCCGAAACACATACATGGACTGTGATGTATATTTTGGAACGATTATCCAACTGGATAGGTTAGAATCTTCGAAAACGTGATTGGTTGGCCATGGACGACGACGTTAAGCACGCCGTCAAATAAAATACTACTCGAGCCAGGTGTTTGAGAACGATTGTTGCTGCAACTGAGCGTTGGGTTTCAGGCTTTGAGAAGCGGAACTGCGGACGGAAGACCCTCACCGAAGAGAGGCAGTTGTTTCCATAGTCCAGTGTAAAACTGAACGTGATTAGTATTGTTGCCACAAACTGTAAAACTAGTACAATGTTATTTCGTTTACCCAAAGTAATATGTCCAGCTGCGTCTCTGGATCTTCGTTTTTTAGTGTTCAGTATGCTGTTCATAATAGGTAAGTTTAGTGTTTGATTTCGGTTATCGAAAACTTCATTGATGGTTTAGGTTATATAAATTGTAAGTAATTAATACTCTATACCGTTACACAACAGACTCAGTGAAATGAGTATTCCATACAACTGTTTCGCTTCGATATTCTGCATTAATGTTAATCGCTATAATGTTTAAAATAAATTTGAACATTATTAGTAATTTTTAAACTTATGAAGGTTATTTTGCATTGTTATAGTAGGATATATTAGTGAGTTTATCAGTTGTAAATATCGTTAATATCGAATATATAAAACTAACCAATCTGTACAGTCTAATCTTTCTGGATTTTATTTATCGTGTATAATAACCTGTAACATAATGCAATTCTAGTTAGTTTGTTACGCCCCCAGTGGGTCAGCGGCATATAACGTTAAAAACCAGGTTTCGATATCCGCGGTGGGTACAGCACAGATAGCCAATTGTATTGTTTTGTGTTAGCAACAACAGTAACAACAACAAAAAAAAGCTTGTTAAATAGTTAACTTCAGTCAATTGCAATAATTTATATTATAAGTTAGTTCACTTACTTTTTGATATGAAGACATTAATAATTAAAACTATTTGTTTTAATGCTATTCTAAAATAAGTTATTAAAAGGAGATGCATAGTTTTCACAAAATGAAGATGAAACTTGTACTTGAAGATAGTCTTTAAGTTGTTAAAACTGTACACGTTAGATTATAAAACTCATTCATATATCTTCAGTGCTTCATTTTTAAGTATAGCAACATTGCATTTCTTTTATTAATATATGAAAAAGTGTATCTATCTATAACTAACTATAAAGGCTACAGCTTTGAATGAAATATCGCTAGAAAAAAACAATTTTCGTATACATTGGTCTTCCAAGTAAAATTTCAAACTGTTTTCTGATTTGGTCGTAATATTGGTTTCAAGTCGCTTTATTATAGGTTTAGTGCTTACGTTCGCAAATGTATAAAATTTCTAACTTATGGAAGTGAGTGCTGAGTTGTAAAAGTATTAACAATATCGTCACCTGCAAGAACTTCGCTAGTATACTTCCTGTTAGCTGTAACCCGAAAACTGGATTTAGTAGCAGCATGTAATAGTTAATTTCAATACTAAATTTGAAATAATATTATATTGCTGTCATGACGTAACTTGTAACTGAAAGTTTTTATTCCAACCGACGTTTCGTTTTTGCGGCCTCTTCAGTGCTAGTACATATAACTGTTTGATGTTTACAATAAAAAAACAACAATAATTTGAACACACATTGAATAAGAATAGTTTCTATTAAAACACTTAGAAAAGCAGAATATACTATGGGTTTCTGAACAATAACATTGTAAACACTACTAGAAAATACGGCTATTTTCTTGATAATATCACTGACGTAATGAAAGATGTTGGTGGATTTTTAACAATAAATTTAAACAGGACTAAAATAAATGTATTTTTTATCAACAATACTAGAAACTATTGTTTGTTTTTAACAATAACACTTTAGACAATACTGCGAAACGTAAAAATGATAATAATGAAACACTGCGAAGTCTGAAACAACGGAAAATGAAATATCTTTCGGGGTGTAAAAAGAATATCAATTGGCAATAGCATAGGTCGTTTATTTCTGGCATTAATGACACAGCAGTCGAGGAGTGCTGAGAAACCATTAGCACCGTACAAGTCTTAAATCATACAAATCTTTCTCAGATGTGTTTAAGTTGTTCAGCTTTATTGATCACGTTTGTGTTATTAACTTATTTTCCAACTTCTGCGCATCATGATTGTTGTTGTTCTCAGTTTTAATTTTCAACTGTCGAGAAACTGTTTCCCACAAATGTTTTAAAACTATTGAAACCAAAAACGTTTGTTAGCCAGCTTGAAGACATTGATTTCATTGAAAATAGCCACGTGTAGCTTTGCGCGAAATTCAAAAACAAACAAAAACAAAAACAACAGCATGAAGAAACTTATAAAACTATGTGTTCATATATTTGAGATTTATTTCTTTAGGAAGACTATTTTTAACATGTTCGTGTCGTTTTATAAAGTTTTCTGTTGTCTTACTAATTTGATTTTATGATGACATCTTGGGTCTCAAATTGAGTAAACATCTACAACCACATATTTTAACAGAAGTTTTATTAGTTTGATGTTCAAGATACATTTCATTTTATTTTAGTTCAAAGCTGCGGTTACCCTGGGTCATCTGCTCATTCCAGTGTCAAATTTACCACTGAGGTAGTTGATTCTGGTACGGAGGCTATCTACAGTTGTGACCGAGGATTCGAGCTTCTAGGACCTTCTCGAAAAGTCTGTGAAGAAAACAGTACTTGGACACCCTTAGGCATACCCTTCTGTGGTAAGTAGTGTATCCTTTCACAAACACACTTACGGAAAAACACCGAAGGTGTGAGATCGCTAGGAACACCCCTGTTAATGACCTTTGACACAAACTAGTTTAAAGCTAGACGACCTAGAATTCCTTATGACAAGGAAGTAAGCAACACGTCCAGAGTAGATTTCCTCTTGAACGGGCAGTTACGCGTGACGCATAATACAATACGCCATTTCATACAAAGATCCTGGAATAGCATTTAGTTCCAAATTAATTAATATCTACCATTCTGATGATCAATATTACAAACAAGCTTCATTATTGTAAACTATGAGAGTTAGTAGACACGAGTTATTCAAAAATTCTAACTTCAGTAAGATGATTCGGTTTTAAAGCTTATTCCCATATTGTGCATGAATAAAATCTTCTGGTAAGGAGGATTCAAAATCCTCTGGAGACGCGACCGATAATGGAAGTTTACTTTAATTTTAATTTTATCAAGGCTGCGTCTAAATTTAAGTTTTTCAGTGATGGTTCACAACTAAGTTTTACCAAAGACCACTGTATCTTAGCTCTGAGTTCTTGAACTTCAGATTCTGCATTTAAATGACTAAATGTTCACTTCTTGTGTTGGTTGAAATTTGAAGCACACGGAGTGATGAGAGTGGCAAAAGCTGGAAACTTGTAAAACTTAATGACAGACACTCCCCAGTGGCTCAGCGGTAAGTTTGAAGGCTTATAACGCTGAAAACTGGGTTTAAATACTCGTGGTGAGCACAGCACAGATAGCTCATTGTGTAGTTTTGTGCTTAATAACAAACAAAGCAAAATAATTTCAGGCGCATATTGTTTCGATGAACTGGATAGATCGTAACATACTAATATCAATGGCTTTCACTCGATTGAAGTGCCTCTACTCTATTGCTAATATTCTAGAGTAATTTTTTTTAAACACCGAGAGCTGGCGGGCCGTTGGGAACCAATAGGCTTAAGATTTTGATAAAAATCGCATATGTTGTACATGTTTTTTTTTTCTTTTCACATTCCTCTAAAACTGGTCATTTTAGATCTCAAATCAGAGGAGTATATAAATAAAATTTCAGATCTATCTTTTGTCTCCCACAAGTCACTGCCCAACAGGTTTTTCGTCACGATACCAGAAACTTATTAGTTGGGCAGGGCACCTGCAGCTTACATGACTTTTATCACCAGTGTTAGGACTACTATGAATATACCATGGTAACTCGTAAAACTATTCATTGACTACACATGCTGATTACAAATAAAATATATTTTTTTCACAAAGTCGTAGCTTGTAAACATGGCAATTATCTATCGCAAAAGATAAATAATAATAATAATAAGTTTGATGATTCTGCACCACACAGAAAGTAAAAACATATAATAACTCCATCTTTACGTCAGTGTTATTTGTTTCGGGAAAGTAACGCCAAACCGTACTACGTTTTGTTTGGTTTTTATTTTTCGATGTAAAGCTTTAACGATAAGCAAAATTGTAACCTTTTAAAATATATATGTCTAGAAATTAGAATAAAATAAATACGATTTTTTTAATAATGCGTTGGCATGGTGACTCCTGAAATTTTACTGACAATTTTGCGTGGATCTGTTTTTATGGCTATATAGTGTGAGGGCAGTGAAATTTCTGGTGTTTAAAATGCGCCTGATATCACTTGGTCCCCGTATGCCCTAGCAAAGTCAATGACCTCGAAAGAACGCTGCCTGTTTTCTTCGACGACCATGGCATTCATCTTGGCGCCCTCTATTTACCAGGTAGAAATCCGGCTCTATGAAGTCTAGAGTAAGATGAGAGAAGTAGATGACTTAATATACTTATTTGGCCGTGACACTGAAATAACTGATAGATTTAGTGCAATGATGAAAAATTTCCTGTTCAAGTCCTTTTCGGTGCCCTGTGATTTTAATATTAGTCACAAGTTGTACTGTGACGTGATATGCCATTATGTTCAAATTGGTGCAAAAAATTAACATTCACTCACTTGTAATGCACCTATTCTGGCCTTTTTTGTTTTGTTTTGTTCTCTTATACGTGACGCGTTTTTGTTCCTTTATCTCATCCAATAAATAATGATTTCTTGTGAGTCAGTTAACCAAGGCAAATGCCTTTTTAAATGATGGGGTATTTCCTAAAATCCCCCCCCCCCCCACACACACACAAAATTATGTGAATATTTTTCTTATAAAATCTGAAACAAGTAAGGTTTTGATGGTAAGAAACTTGCGATCAAAAGAAACGTTTGCTTATCTTTCCAACAAAACAACACTAAAAGTGTACAACAAACTCTTTTTGACGTAATATCTTTTATCTTATTATCGTGACATGTCCTGATTCTTTCAGCAGTTTATGTGCTATCAAAGAAAAGAGTTATGTAAGATATATTTAATAGAACTTGTTAAATGATTATTTGTGACATACTTTGGTTGGTCTGGTAACTTATACAGCATGAAAAATAATATACGAAATATTTTATCTGATTAATTGTATTCGTTGGTAAAAGAGTAGCCCAAGAGTTGGCGGTGGGTGGTGATGACTAGCTGCCTTCCCTCTAGTCTTACACTGCTAAATTAGGGACGGCTAGCGCAGATAGCCCTCGTGTAGCTTTGCGCGAAATTCAAAACAAACAAAAGTGGGATTGACCGTCACATTATAACGCCCCCACGGCTGAAAGGGCGAGCATGTTTGGTGGGACGGAGATGCGAACCCGCGACCCGCAGATTGCGAGTCGAGCGTCTTAACCACCTGGCCATGCCGGGCCTTATCTGATTAATTATAGCATTTTATGGTTGGTTCAAGAGCTTTTACGTTACTAAGGTACCATATATGTATGATATTTTAAATTATTATTCGCAGCATATCTTAGTTAATAAAGTAGATTGTACACTATTAATGGGGGTACTATATAAGTTACAAAAGAAGAACCATGGGGTCCATATTCCGGGTGTAAAACTTGACGTTTTGGTGCTACGTATGTAAATGACAGGCTGGTTTAGGAAAGGCTGTGTTATAGGTTTTGACAATAACACCTCTATACGGAAAAGGCTCAAGGTGAAACGCTTAAATTATTGGTGGAAAATTCACCCTTGCATCCCTATACGGTTCAGCCCTATAAGTCATGTATGATATTTTATCTAATCATCCGTAGCATAGTCTGGTTAGTTCATTAAACTGTGCTGTATCAATGAGAAAACGTATGTAATATGATATATTATATGATTATTCGTGGCATATTCTAGTTGTTTTATAGACTGTGCGTTATCAGTGAGAGTAATAGATCAGATATAACTAACTAGGCAAGTTTAAATAAAATCTGTATATTATCATGGGAGTATATAACAGAGCGAGGAGGTTAGTTTATTTGTCCGCCTTTCCAGATACGGGAAGTTTGGCCTGAGTTTTTCTTAGGTCAGCATAGTAGCCGTGTCTCGATTGTGTACCACTGTCTTACTGCTTTAAAGTCAAGACGTTAGAAAACCCACGTGGTGGAACTGATAACATCGGCGTTCTTCTGTGGAAAGTAGGGCACATTACTTGCTCGTGAGCTCTTGTGTGATGACCCTGACTTTCGCTCAGTCTTGTTACACTTCGTATCCTGCTGCCTAGGCCTCACCGCATTACTGATATATTCACGGTCAATAACGCTCATAGTGAAATTTTGTACTAAGGCCTATGTAATTATTACTGATAAACAACTACTGTCAAACAGAAGACATTTATTCTGGTTGGTTTGTCTCTGTACTCTGTAATTTGAACATTACTTGAACTATTTTGTTTAATCTTAGTAGAACGATATTGCTATAACATTTATTAAAAAAACAACTTTTTTCTAGATATTGTTACGTCTCTGGTCGTCAGTTAATTTTCCGTAAAGAATTCTTTCCGAAGAAACTTTAGCAATACAAGTCCTTTCTTAAATAAAACTGGTTTATTCTTTCTGAATACAACTTTGCAATACACTTAATTTCTACAGTCGCGCTATAACAAACACTATAATTCACAAGGAACGTCTCACGTGCTCAACTCAACTGTTAATTACACATTGTTGCCGTCACTTTTTGGCGGCTTATATGTACAAGACTACCGCATATCTAGTAGCCTCTCGAGACTTCAGGAAGGGACGTGAACGTTCGAGAATATGACGCGTTACTAGCGTCACGTGACCCCCGCTATTGTAACACTGCCCCTTCCTTAGTATTGTTCGTCCCGAACAATAGCCACTTACATTAAACCAATAAACAATTAACAATAACTTAATTAAATGTACAGAATTTACAAACACAAAATTAAAATTCAACAAAGTCTCTTCATT